TATGTTTCTGTGAATTAGGAACCCCTCTCCAAGTTCTTTCTGTCTGCCAAGCCCCGCTAGCAAAGTACGTGCCCATTCTGTAGCACCGTATAGGTCTCATCTGTCATCCACACCTCACTGAGCCCTATTATATCCCTTTTAACACCCTCTAGCTCCTCGAATAGTACAGCTAGACTTCCCTCACTAGATAAGGTTCTAGCGTTAAACGTTGCCAAGTTCCGGATCCAATGTCGGCCTGTCCGGATCCTGAGATTTTTAGCACCCCCTGCTGCGTTGCAGATCTGACCGCCACCGTGGTCAATTTCTGCGCAGCCGCTGGGGACTGAAGGCCGTGAGTTATTTGACGTATGCATGTGGGAGGTAGTGGCCAGATACTGCACCAGGATGGCCAATCCTTCTCTGGTGAGGGAGTGCGTTCCCGGCGGTGGTTACCGGTGAGGCCGCACCCAGGCCTCTTAATGCAGTTCCATCATCACGCGGATTTTTTTAATCCGGTTGGGAACTGCGCGGCACCGGGATTTGAACCACGAACATTTTGCATGCGGGGCGGATGCTCTAACCACTATGCCATCGCACTCTGTCTCACTCAGACTCAGATAGAGCCGAGAGTCTGAGTGTGTTTGGGTAAGTAATATTTTGGTGAGTCTGAGTCAGAATGTTTCTGATTGAAGAAAATTTTCAGGAGCGATAGTCCGAGTGAAGCTGGCTCAAGAAAATTTAAGTGAATCTGAGTTTGAGTGAATCCAAAGAGAAAAATATAATTCACGAGTGAGTCTCAGAGAGCCCCACAATTTTGCAGACCTATAAATCAGGCTAACGTATAATAAAAATTCTACCAGTTTTTTCGTTATACAGTTTCTCAGTTTAAAACTTCAGCTTCATACCCTCCCACAATTTACCCACGGAAAATTTTTTACAAAGCATTTCTGAATTCACAGTCCATTTTTTCAAAAACAAAACCAAAATTGAGCAATTGTATACACACTTTATTGTCAACGGCATCGAACAACTCGTTCATATGGATAAATAATCATAGATGATTGCCAGTGGCTTTTGGCTGCCTGCTGAAAGAGTTTGCAATACAGGCAGGCCATGCCATCACCAACAAAGGGGGGCCCACATTCAAAGGCAGAATTTATCAACTCCCTACCAATTCATAAATTTCATTAAAAAGATTGACTTCTCAGCGGTCCGGCAACTCAGATATGTCTCGTCAGGTGGCAATTTTATGTGCCATGCCTGGACTCTAGGTGCCTATAGTCCAAGCATGGCAACCCTGAACTGAATCACAATTCTGAAAGCACACCTTTCAATAAGCCATTAACATTTACCTTCAGACTATTCTTGCAAGCAATGTACCAGAATCAGTTTTCTTATAACTCTGCAATAAAGAATGCTCATTGCAAAGTTCGTTCATTGAAGTACAAATGAGCCTACTCATGCAGATGTGCCACACACCTTTTTACAAACAAGAAAACGAATGTTACTGCTCAGCAAATTACCAATTAAATGGCCATCTTTAGTTTCCAGACCTTGCACCAAAAACAAGAAAGTTATCCAAAAACGTGCCACTTGTGCAACAGACCTGTGAACAGCCATTTCAGAACAAAGTTTCAAGCTAAAGGTTGTCTTTGTTTTCAGATTTTGATCAAACACAACAGAAAGGCAAAAACACTTGGATCATGGTGCTAATTTATAACATCACAACAGCAATACAGTTATTCATGCATATCCAAATAACTCAAAATGGATGCTACATAGCCATAAAAATGCATAACAAATAAAAGTAGCACATGATCAACAACTTGTTTTTAGGCCAATCACAGCAGAGTGGACTATAAGCCCTTAAGATCAGATGTATAAAGTCAATTTTTCTGGGCTTGTTTTCTTTTTGTGTGTGTGTGCATTTTTAACAACAGCATTTTCAATTTTTGAACATGCAAAAAGAGTTCGGGGCTTTAATGTCTACAAAAACTAGCTCAATGCAAAAACTATGTGCACATGCACATATGTCAATACTAATAAAGTGATCTTCCCATTCTATCATGCCTAGCGATGAGCAAAAAAATATTTGGAATAATTTAATTTATAATAAAATGTATAATTACTAAACTTGCCAAACACTAAACTTGCCAAAATTACTAAACTTGCCGAGATGGGCCCAGCCGTTTGATCTCGGCTGACGCCGAGATCAAACGACTGGGCCCATCTCGTGTGCTCGAATGGCGCATACGACAAGACGCATGCTCAACACACCACCCGTACTTAACGAGCACGAGAAGATGCGACATGGGGGGGTGGGGGTTGGACGATTAGCCACTGTGAACGTTCATTTAACGGGTTAGTCACCACCTCTGATCTGACGCGCACACGATATCTCACTGTCTCGGCAGCCATCAGTGGTCGGTTCGTACAACCTTCTACGTGCTGCTCTTCAACGTGAACAAGCTGTGCTGAAAATGTCCATGAAGCGGCTCTACTTACACCAGCGTTTTTCACAGCGGTGTCAAATACAAAAGATTTGCCAGCCTCACTTTGTATAACATTAACAACTTGGTAATTTGCCTTCTACTGATACAGCTATATATATTAAAGTAAGAGTGTTGAGCGAGTTGCATGTCATTCATGATGAACGTAAACAGCACACACACACAAAAGAAAGAAAACACGAAACTACACAAGAACGGTGAAGCGATGAAAACATATGCTGTCTCCTTGATCTCATATCAAAATTTTTTTGTCACTCGGACTTTGTTCCTCAGATACAGTGTGGTAACGCAAAATTTTCAACCGACAAACTTTGCAGCCGTAAATTTTATCTCTCTGTGATGCTTCCAATTTGCGCTAAATACGCGAGATTAGACGAATGTCTGAAAGTAAACTTGAAACAACTGAGCCTCAAAACTGTCCTTATATACCTCTCTCTCTCTCTCTCTTTTTTTCCTGCTTGTGTCGATGCACCACTACCCGAACATTTTAGTTCGTTTACACTGCCTGCTGAACTCTAACGAAAAGGGACCACTCTTCTTTGCCTTTTATGACTAAGAATGGCTTTCACAAAGCCACATTCGCTTCCAATTGGAATGGCTGACAACAATTTTTCTGCACGTACCTTTCCCTTTCTGTCTATATCTAGCTTTCACGCTTCCCTACCCTTCACTCCATTTAAGGCAGCACGTTCGTTACTCTCGGCTTGTTACTCTTACCCGTGCCTTCCTTATCTCACCTATTCTTTCTTTGAGTTCAATTTATGCTTCACATTCTCAAAAATTTACATAACATGTTAATTTTATGTTTGAGCAAAACTTAAGGGAAGGGAAGGCATGAACCAGGAAGCGATGTATACAGACCAAATAAAAGCTATAAAGGAAACGACATTCCGGATTTTTGCGTGGCTTGGGATAGTGAAAAAGACTTCGGTAGAGAAACCAGAACGTCGTTTAATTTTTAGCTTTTATTTGGTGTGTATGCTTCATTTAAATCATAATGTTTTATGCCGACCAGATGGGTTTTCCTCGGGACTCCAGATTTGAGAAGGGAAGCACTTCTGGCAGAAAGAAATTGCCACAAACGACTGAATTCCCCCTGAGTTTTATTATTTAACGATGTAATGTGCTGTTATTGACAAATTAATGTTTCACGGTGCATGCTCCTCTCGCACTATTCTGGTAGACTTCTCCCGATGGAGTATGTCGGGTTGCATGTAGCACGCAGTGTAGAGCACGACCAGAACCGGAACCAATGCGAACGGAAAATCTAATGGGCGAAAAAAAAACATCAACAGACAATTGGGCAGGGCCATAAGTACGGCACAGTCAAAATTGTTTAGCTGGTTGAAATGTGTACTTTTTACGGGAATGTTTATTTCATCTGCATCGAACGCGGTACCTCTCTAGTGATATGAATTCTTTGCAAAGCTTTTAATGCAAAACAAAATATAAAGACACTGTGGCGCACTTTTGCCGTCGCCGTGATGTTCTGTTTAAAGTCGAAATTCATAACATCGTCTTGTACATTGTATGGTGCGTTCTGTGTGCGCGTGACAGCTTTTGGAGGCTTCAGACGGGTGAGGTCACAACAGTGATGAAACGCACGGGCCGGCTCCGTTAGGAAGTGGAGCTTTAAGAGGTGTCAGGGTGGGGAGGGGGGCTGTATCGCTTGAGCTGCAACTAATAATTATGAAGGAAAGGGCACGGCCTTCGCACTTTCGTCGTGTGAGGTACGTACGTGAAGGTCTTCTACGGCGCTTTCCCGAGGTAACGGTATCCTCGACAGAGGGCAAGTCACCAGATTTCAAGATGCTGGCAAACCAACCGAACGTGGCCAGTGCCTTTCCACGCCCAAGGTTTTCGCATAGTGACAACTTGAATGTTTCTTGTGATGTTCGAGAGAGCGACTCAAGCGAAGACAGGATACAATATCCATAGGGATGAAGTGAAGTCGAGTTGCGCCTGTCAGCTGTCAGAAGAAAGAGCTCATTGCTCGCACATGTTCGCACTGGATGATCGCAGAGACGGGAGCTGCCCTAACACTCAGGTTCGTCTCATCAGTTTCTCTACGGCACCCAGTGAGCCTTTTGAATAATGGTGCTCCACCTCCGTCATAAGGACATCGACAATGGCATCCCAACGCAAGAGCGTCAAAAAATCGCGATGAATATATGCGCTCCGAGGTAGCAGCTCATAGGACGTACGTGGTGACCATGATAGTGACTAATCTTGGCGCATTATCATTATTATTATTATTATTATTATTATTATTATTATATTATTATTATTATTATTATTATTATTATATTATTATTATTATTATTATTATTATTATTATTATTATTATTATTATTATTATTATTATTATTATTATTATACCTTTGTGCTGGTAGTAAACACTTGGTAGCTTGTGCGTTTATGATCTCGCGTCGTCGTCCGAAAACTTTTTTTATCTACGCATAATTTGCTGCGAAACTCCAACGAATGCGACTGTGAACAAAGTCTACGTACCTATAAGTATTCTTTTGCACAGAATGATGCAGATGTCGTAGTCAGCGAGGTGGAAGATGCAGGCACAGATGGACAGCAGGTAGTTTGGTGAGCCAAGCAACGCTCCAACAACCCGAAGTCGCTCAGGCGTGGTTAGGTACCGCTCCTGTTAGGGTGGAACTGATTATTGAAGTGACAGTGTCACTCATACGCGACAGCATTTATTTATTAGCGGTATGCGCAACGGCTTACTCTCTTTTTTTCTTTTCCTAAAATGCTTGATTTGGTCGAGCTCTTACATACCGTTTTTTTATTATTCAGAAAATTTCTTCTAAATAATAAAATTTACAATAAACTTCTCATATTGATTATATTAAACCCATGAAAAAAGCCCTGCTGTCTCAAACCTGCTTTGAAATACACACCCACCGAAATAAAGCGTCTGGTTTATCACCTATACTTCCGACACTACAGTAGGATAACATTGTCTGGAGCCCTTACACGTTGACCTGCGTATCAACACTTGAAAGGTGCAGCGTAAAGCAGGACACTTCATCTGTGACCGACATCAGGAGGAGGAAAGTGTAAGCGGAAAGACAGGGAGGTTAGCCAGTTTTAGAGCGGCTGGCTACCCTGTGCTGGGGAAAGGGGTGAGGGGAATGAAAGATGGTAAAAATAAATGTTGCGAAGAAAGAGAGAAATTACAAAAAGCTGACAAAAATTACAAAAATTATGAAACTACAAAAAAACACTGACACCAGCACACAGACTCAATACTGAGTTACTGCTGCGCGCAGGGCTCGCTCCTCTATCCAGTATATCGAATCATCATCGCCTAAAGTTTTATGTACTTACGTTTGCACAATTTGTTAAAGGCTGAGGCATTAGACTACATCAATATAAGTCACTCAAAGATTACCCGACACGAACACCCTCTCACGCTCAAGGGATTCTTTTAAAACAACAACACTTTTTTATTTTTATTTTAGCTATTGCTGCGTCAGTGAAATGCTTTAGACGCCTCAGCGGTCTTACAAACGATAGTACGAAAAATTCTAGAAACTCGTTGGATCAGTCACTCATTGTAACGCCGATCTAGATAGTTCGCATTATCGAATGGACTCCTAAAAATTAACTTCCTGTTTGTTTGATCCTCTAACCTACTGCCCCTGATGCGGTGGTCTGGTGGCTAAGGTACTCTGGTGCTGGCCCGCAGGTCGTGCAATCGAATCCCGCAGGTCGTGCAATGGAGGCGGAAATGCTGTAGGCCCGTGGGTTCAGATTTGGTGCATGTTATATAACCCCAGGTGGTAGATTTTTCCGGAGCCCTCCACAATGGCGTCTCTCTTATTTATATGGTGATTTTGAGACGTTACACCCCACATATCAATCAATCAATCAATCATATAACATATTGTCAGCAACATATGTAACTTATGAATCAGTAACCTAAGTAAATATATATGTAACCTATCAAAATTTCGGTGTATAGAATGTACGTTTACTTGTTGCTTATTTATGTCAAGGCACCTATGTACAAGTTCCACTGACGTTTGTGATTTTGTCTTCGCCAACATTTGCCCTGCTGCATTTCAGTGTCTTTGCTTGTACACTTTAAGTGTACCCACTTCTGTAAAAGCCCAAGTCGATGTTGACAGTATAATAAAATATATAAATGAATAAATAAATTATTATTTGCACTGTTGTAAAGTAGTGCTGAACAAAATCAAAATTTTGGGCAAATGTCATGACAGAATGGCACGTGAGATACTTGAAGCATTTCATAATGCAAAGAATGGTGAAGCTTGGGCCAGGTACTGCTCTGCGGGGTCGCGCAGGAAGGAAAAAGATTCCCTGCAATCTCTTTTCATATTCTGTTTTTTTTTCTTCAATTTTGAACGCCGAATATTAAGTGTGGAGATAACACGCAGTGACTGCACGTCGGTTTATTGTATTTTTACTTTTCTTGGGTGATTGTGACATGAACATGCGACGGCGTGAGTGTATATATTCGAGCTGCACTTTTTTGAATAAACAGTTGCTAGTGTAATCACTTTCCTGTCTTCTCCATTTCCCGTGTAAGTTAAACTTTTGTTTGGATTTAATTTCTTGATGCAATGCACCAACTAGCCCAACAACGTGTGGTATCAGCCTAACTTGTCATACATCATGTTTATCATTCTTCCGGATGTCGTCAAATAAATAGAGAACAATACTCGCCAAGCAACGTGTCTCACTGAACCTTTATTATTGGGCGAGCGGTAAACTGGGTAAACATCTCTTCAGAAATTTTATGATGTAGAAGAGGAGGGGGGAAGGTACCCTGCATTTTACAATATATAGAGGGCTCCCCCTGCAACTCGCTTCTCCACCCACCCCCTAACACTTTATATTTGCACCACTCATTCATCAACAGTCAAATTGACAGAGTTTTTTGAGAAAAAGCAAGGGGGGGGGGGGCACTGAAGTGTTCGTCAAGCCACTACGCGCAACATGCACCACGACTTCAACTATTTATTTACGGGTGTGCGGTCTTACGACGTATTATGCCGGTTGCACACCTCGAAATATTTTGCGGGTCGCAGCTTCGTGGCTTCAGCAGCCAGGACTTCGGCGGCGATGCCCAGTACGCTCAGCACGGACCACACAGTGGCTACCTTGTCCATTCCGTGCCAGAGCCAGCTGAAGGCGAACGCGAACGCAGTACCCAACAACATCCAGGCAGCGTCCCTCCGGTCACCAAACAAGGGATCGTATACATGTCTGCAAAAGACGCACCGCTGCTTAAGAAGGTAAGTAAACACACTTCGCAATGCGTGAAGTATGTGTGATGCAGAAATATAGCAGCACTGATTTCAAGTAAAGACCTTCATTTACACATTATAGAAAAAATTAGAGGATGTATTCGACGCAGAAACTATGATGACTTGGTGGGTATATATATATATATATATATATATATATATATATATATATATATATATATATATATATATATATATATATATATAGCTTGCACATCTTAGCAAGCGCCGAAGAAAGAAACACATACACAGAATGGGTACTCCACATCAACTGAATGTTTACTGGCATAAAACGATGAAATTGTGGAGTGTCGGTGGCGCTGCTAACGCAAATACTTGCAATGTTGCTTCCCACGCTGTTTCTTTCGCGTGCAAAGCCAGTGAAGGTGTACTCACACCTTTATCAGCATCTATAGTGAGGCAGTACGTCGTACAGACTCTTCGAGCTTGCTGAGCAGCAGAGCTGCGCAAGATGCGGGTGCCGTTGTAGCAAGGCATGCAAGAGCACCTGCGGCAGTGATCTGCCTAATGTCCACCCCCGCCAAGGAACGGACAGCTGCGCGACGCTCTTTCAGCCTTCTATTAACGAAGCGGCTAGTCTGTTCAACATAGCACATTCCACCATTAAGTTGGACACCACGCGCACTGTACACCGAACTCGCTATAAGTTCAATGACATTTGCGATGGATGTAATTGATTCCCCTTACCTTCTGATCCACAAGTGCATGCCGCGATCAAAGTATTTGCAAAAAAATGTTTATGTGAAAAACAGTTACATCTATGTCTATTTGAACGGTGTACCGTAAGCGTCTACATGCATTGTCGCATACAGACACTTATCGCACACTTATACAGATAAGAGCAAATAAAACAGGCATAAAATTCCCAAAACGGCCGATAATACTACTGTATTTTTTACTATGTACAAGGTGATTTATTGCGTTTACAGCGCCCTTTTCCAAGGCTTTTTCGGTGACATTCTCATTCTCATTAAAATAGGTAGTTTGTGGTTTATTTTATTGAATTTATTTTGAACAAACATTTTTCGCGAATAATAATTGGGCAGTGTAAAAGCAGGTTATGTACGTTTTTGACGGTCAATTCACAATAATCGCTGACCATAAGCGTCCAAGGAGGGTGCCACCTTCATCATATATCCTTATTCAATCGGGCTCGTAGGGTTACAGCCATGCACATGTGTAGGGTTACAGCTATGCACATTTTCGGCAATGTTGCAGCTGAGGACTCCTGATAGTGCAATAAAAGAGTTTTATACTCCACAAAGGCCACAAAGCTGGAGACCATGGACAAGTCATTGTGAATAGCACGTCATTACTTCCTTTATCTTCCTTTACCAAAGATATTTTTCTTCGGACTGTTCTATTTTGGAGGAAGGGGGAGTAAAAGTGCTGTAACAAAATTCAAGATCCACCTGCTTGAGAACTTTGTATACACCTATGCAGATTCCACCAGGTGCGGTTTATGAATGACTGGAATTTTACGTCTCGAAAACAACCACCATAACTATGTGAGAGATGCCGTAAGGGAGGGCTCCGCAAGTTTCCACCACCTGGAGTTGTTTACCATGCATCTAAATCTAAACACACGGGCATCAAACATTTTCGCCTTCATCAAAAATGAGGCCACCACCCTCTGGATTGATCTCGTGAACCTCTGGTCAAGACTCAGCAGTCGATCACCAAAACCACCAGAGAACCGGGGCGGTTGACAAAGTGCTTTGGGTGACAAAGCACAACCCCTCACCTCCAGAAGTGCCTGCATCGAGTTAGCCTAGTGATGCACTTTGAGTGCGGCGGGAGAACAATGCCTTCGGCGCTCGCCAGACCTCCTGCGAATACGTAGCGCAGGTAAAAAAAGTAGTTGAGAGTCAAGCCGTATCCTAGAAGACTCGCTGTGCCCAGTGTCTCGACGGTCCACAGAAGCTTTGACATCGCCTAACTGCGTGTACATGCCAATAATACGTGAATTGGGAGTAAACATTGAATTAACTACGCTTTTTCGTATTCCAACAGACGTGCATACTCCCGTACTCGCGGAAAAATGACATCTACTATTTTTCTATCGTACTGGGTTACAATACCTTCCAATTGTTCTTACTTCTGGGGAATTTGGTATTTAGATTTGCTGTACATTACCAGTTTGTCTGTGCCGTCTTCTTGGATACAGAAAAATACTAGCATTCAATAATTGAATTTCATTTGGTGACATTATTTATTGGTACAGTGCAATACGCCTGACTCTGGACAAACAATCATTTTCATGCACTGTTATCTTCGGGTGAGCCTCAATCAGGCTATACAAGTTTGCATTATTGGCTCAAGTGTTCGGGATACTCTGCTTACGGGTTATGCGAAGGGAGAAATAAATAGGTGAATGAATACCTTCATAAAATAAAGCATGACAGTTAAACAATACTTTGGTCCAGATTTCACTTTATCCTATCGTGCAGTTGCGTGTATACATGAAGTCTACTACGCTGCGGCTCAAGAAAATTGCAGTCGGGTACAACTTAAGCGTGAACAGAAGCTTCATCCAAAAAACTACGCTGCGCTTGTATGTCCCTACTGCATTACGAATACAGCAGCTGTTCTTCGCAAAAGGCGTTAATCCTTTTTCAAACTCATGTGAAAACAGGCATGAGAAAAGAACATTACTTTTTATGACTACAATATCATTCTTCGCTTAGCACCGAACATCTCAGCCTTTGACGAAATTGCCGGGGAAGTTGAACATTACATCTAGAACCAGTGCCACTCATTTTCTTCAAGGAAGAACTCTACCAACTTCCACCCATACCAGAACATGACGTTATAAAAATTTTGTGGGCTTGGCAGATAGCACGCTCTGCGGAATCGCAGGTTTAGCGGAATGTAGCAAGACCGAATGAGCATGCGCAGAGGGCTATAAACGACTCGTAGCATTTACTGTACGTACGCTTTTTCAGATTTACTGGTAGTACGTGTACGTTGTTAACGTAGCGCAAATAAACCATGAAGGCGATTTCGGACATCCGCTTCGAACTGAATTTAAGGTTGATATTTATGGATATATTTCTGTCATAGCAAATACCTGTGCAAAATGCTAGTAACTGTGTAATTGCACTTGCCGCCAGGTAGCTCTGACGACTAGCTGGTTGAAATATCTTAGCGTAGTTTTGAAGATCGTTTTTCATTTTGAACATACAAAGGTCTAACTAACATCGACGTAAACAAAAGCGGAAGATAAAGAAAATGGTTTTGATGAGTGGTACTTGTTTATATGCTTCAACCTTTTTTTAAAAAAGTAGTGGTATTGCTGCTTGCATTTAAACTGGTGAGCATTCTTTTTCTGTCCCTTTTTTTTAACGCATTCACACTCCGATATGTGACTCTGCCTTTACATCTCGAGCACGTAAACACTATTCCACTAAACTAACATGCGCTGACTGCAAAAAACCTTTGCGGCACAGAAACAGTTCCGTTCACCCCCGCTATCGTGTCGATGCTAAACTACAAATGTCTTATGAGCGAAACTATTTAGTCGGTTCATATATGCAAATTACTTATTATTTTTGTGCGACATGGCAACGTTTGTGAGTTTCAGTGGCTTGAAAACTAGTGCTGCAAATTAGTAGTGCAGGTGGACATAACCTATAGAAGTAATGTGTGAAGGCCTCAACAAGGACTAGGTGGACTCCGCTTCTGACCAGCCTTACTATGGTGGCCATCACCTCCCGTGGCTTGAAATCCGGTCTCACTTTGTCTACCTGCGGAATTCTTGAATAGTTTTTGTGCGATACAACATGGGTGCAACTACGAGGAACACGTCTTGAATAAATATGAATCGAATGGAGTCAGGTTACGAAATATTTACTGATAACATGACTGGAAAGTCTAGACTACTCTTAATTCAAAGATTATTAGGTGTGCCTGTTCTTTCTCACAGATTTTTCTACAGATATCATCTCGTTATCATGGCGTATATCTTCATAAACCACGTAGCCAATGTCAGCACTAAGAATGGAGCCTGCCAGAATTTAATGCTTTTCAGGTACCTGCGGTTATGGCCAGTTGTATGCTCGAAAACGCACAAAATTAAGTTAAATCAGTCGGTGACGCTCAGCTGTCATGCGAGACAAAGCAGGACGGCCGTGCGACTGCATGGCGAAGCAGGGTACAAGTTTATTGGCCATTTACTCGTGACATATACCAATGACGCCATACCCTGTTTACATCAATGGGCAGAGTGTCAAATATGCACGGACACATCGTTTCCTGGGCATAATAATCGACAGAAGTCTTTCGTGGAGCCCACATTGTGCGTACTTGAAGAAGAGACTGCTATCTATTGTGCATATCATGAAATTCTTGTGCGGTAAAGCATGGGGAACTTCTGTGGCCTCCATGCTACAGCTGTACAGGGCCCTATTTCTGGGTCTATTGCGCTACAGCTTGCCGGTACTGAGAACACTTGCAAATCGAATACTCATTCATTGGAGAGTTTGCAGGGTCAGGCACTGCCTATCTGCCTAGGACTGCCCCGATGCGCTTCTACTTATGCTACAATCATGCTTGCCAAAGACCATCCGGTTAGGACATATAGAGTTGTGGATTGCCGCAGAGCGCACATTCGACATGCTAGCCATGTCCCCGACCACCACTTGGCCCTTCTACCTTCCGGAAGACCACGTGCTACGTTTTCAGACGTCATAGCCAAGCACCTAACAGCATTCCATCAGGATATACGCCAGCTGCGAGAATGGCATGTCCTTTGTGGTGTCTCGACCAGCCGCAAGTACGTCTAGAAATTCCGGGAATAAAAAAGAAAAGCAATCACTCCAGAGTAGCATTGAAGCAAGCAAAACTGCTATTATTACGTGAGTTGTACTTAAACCGAACGCAGATATACACTGATGGGTCCGTCTCGTCCAGCAGCTCATCAGGTGCCGCAGTAATTCC